AGAGATGCTGTGTGGTGGGCAAGGGGGGCTGGCGACCTACGGGGAATGGGGGTCTCAGGCCTCTGACATGTGGGGATGAGAAGGGTGGGTGATGCTTTAAGTCAAGGTAAGCGAGGAAGGAAAACGGGAGACTCCCTCAGAATGTGGATGCTGGCAGAAGTGGAATCACAAGTCGGAAAAGAATCAGAGGGAAAAAGAATGATGAGAGCTAAGCTGTGTTTGTAGGAAACTTACATGATCCATTTAATGTTGATGTAAATGTCATTTTTAGTTGTAGAAAATTGTTTTTAATGTGTAAATAACTTGTTACTTTAAAAAAAGAAAGCCGATCTGGTGAAGACAGCTGGCACTCCAGAGCCCCTAGACAGGTCTGCCTCCTCCTACCTCCCGTCTGGCCGCCTCTGCAGAGGGCGGGCGGAGGACTGGGAGCGACTCAGTGGCCCTGGTCTCCACCATGGAGCTGCTGCTGTGCTGGGGCCCATCTGAACTATCTTTTCTAAATACAGGGCACCCCATCTCTGAGAAAAACACCCACGATGCAAACTGGAATGCTCTCCGTTCCAAAGGAAGTTTTGAAGCCTGAACCCCACCGTGAAATCTCAAGTGCAGCCCTGATATGTACCACGAAGTGTGACATTTCACAGTCGGAGACAAATCACGGCACATTATTTAAAGCATGATGTACAAAATATCCACGTGTCTGTCCACTGTGGCCTGGGTTTGATCTTTTGTGCAAAGAAGCACATTCTGAATAGGGAGGCCCTTTCTCTGCTGGCTGAATCTAATCTTGAGAAAACCTAAACCATGCAATTCTATCTGGGGTTTGTCTGCTTTTGACATAATGGAAACATTAGCAGGAAGAACATTCTCTGAGTGTGCTGCTTGAGGTTTTTTTTTTTTTTTTCTTTTAAAAAAACATTTTATTTCAAAGGGCAAGGAGGTATTTTGCTAGACACAACTGGGAACAATGGCTAGAGAACAAGAGGAGTTTGTCTTAATAAATAACAAAATGCCATCCACATTTCTCAAGCTTCCTGTAACACACTACACAGGTAAATAAATAACCCACTGCGTGGCTACCTATCTAACACAGTCCTAGGTGTCTGTGCATGTGGTGGAGCACATCATATTGCTGGGCCCAAGACCTGCCAGGCCCAGTGCAGACTGGGAAGCTCACCTCCCAGACCTCTGCCATGCCCTCGGTCCCACAGTGCACAACAGCAGAGGCACCCGAATGCAGGTGACAAGGATTGGTGGGTGTCCTGGGCTGGCATCCCTGGTGCCTCCATCTCACAGGCGGGGTTATTGCTTCATTGCCTTCTGATTCCAGACGGTATAGAGCAACGTCTGCACTCCAGCGTCGCGTCCTCTCATATAGCACGTCTGGGTCCTCTGGGAACGAGAGCACATTGCTGCCCATGCAGTGCTCCAGGCCCAACATTCTGTTGCTGAGATACCTGAGAGAGATGAGGCCCTGGGGGCCACATGCCAACCCATGTGGCCGTCTGGCCATGCCCATTACGGGAGGGCTGTGACTGGGCAGACACGGTTCTGCAGGGCCTGTGGCTGGCGGGTGCCTGGCCTCCGGCTCAGTTAAGGCAGCTGGACGGCAGTATCCATAGACTCCCTGAGTTCCATGCATGGCTACAACGGTTCCAGGAATTCTCAGGTTGGCTTTTGTGTCTTCTCCAGGTGTGCAAAAGGCAAGGATAAATCATTCTTTTCAACACAGGATCCTTTATTGGAACTTCTCCTTGAAAGATAGTTTGTGAAAGACAGGCCCAGATCCCCTGCATGGGACTCGCATGGTCAGTGTTCCTTCAGTCTGAAAGTAAAGGAACAAATGACATTGGCTAAGTGGACGGGGAGGGGGGTAATTCATACAAAATGCACAGCCTCTCGGGAGCCCACCTCTCCCCTCCACCAGGGGATGTGCCTTCAGAGGAACGAGATGGCCGATCAGGCCTTCCACCACCCACACCCTGGCAGTGGACGGGGAGTACAGGAGGGAGGAGAGAGGAGGGCTTGGGGGTTCTAGAAGCCCTATCTCTGTTCAAAGCTGCAGCTTGGAAAGAACGACAGAGGAGGCGATTTCCTCACACGTCTTTACTCGGGCTGGGGAATTGCCATGATCATATCCACACAGAGGCATTATTAGAAAAGAAAACGAGAGCGAATTAAGTGCGCCATGAAAGGGACAGGCAGTGAGCTCTCATTTCTTTCTCTTTTAGGGAAAAGCAGGTGCAAAAGGCTGATAAGTGCGCTGTCTGAAGCTGCACCCTAAGCACCTGGGAGAGGGCCCCTCCCCAATGGACTTACGGAACTTGGTCCCCTGGTGCTGACCCTGGGCAGCTGAGCTCCTTGTGTATGAGGCGGATCAGGAACTGTACCCCAAACAAAAACAAAACCGCCAGTTAGTCCCAGTGGAGACCCAAGCAGACTGCATGTACCCGTGGTCACCTGAAGCTGGCTGGCCTGCCCGCAGCACCTATAGGGGGCTGCCCTGAGGTGCTTCTTCTCATGAGCACAGTGTGGGAGCATAAGCACAGCCAGCCTGAGGGCTGTCACTGAGTCCTACGGACAACTGGGGTGTGCTCCTGAACACAAGGCTTCTACCAGAGATGTTAGCCTGAATTACCCCCAGGTTCAAGTCATATTTAAAATAAATCCTAATGTACAAATTAGAACAAAGAAAACAAAGATAAGAACAGTTAATGGTGACACTGAGGGAGGACTCCAGAAGCCAGGGGCGCATTTCATCTGACCTTGGACTGGGAGGCTGAGAGTCTGTCTTGGAACAGCCCGTTTTATCGGAAGCTCTTCAGAGATCTGCCCTGGCCGGGTTCCGAGCCCACAGGGCACCCACAAACACTGCTGGTGGTCAAACCCAGAGCCACTCAGCCTTCCCCTCAGCACCGTGCCTGACCTTGCTGCTCTCCTCTGTGGGTGTGGACTGGACTGTAAATAGCAGTTGACAATTTAGAGGAGGGTTGAGACCAAATTCTAGGCCATGATGAAAGGGCTGAGCTCGTGTACATGACGATAATCAGTAGGGTCCATTCAGGTGTCTGCTTACAGATGCCCAAGCCTGGTGCGACAAGTGGGCAGGGTAAAGACCATGGATGAGGGCTGCTCACCAGGCTTCAATCACATGCCCAGCCAGTCTTTCTCACCCAGACCTGCCCTGTCAGGGAGTGGCAAAGCTAGGAGAGTGGCCCTTGCCAGCATCTCAGGCACACCCTAGGGGACCTCCTCAGATCAGTGAGGTTCTAGCCTTGGACCTGGAAGACAGTGAAACAGGTCTATTTGAAGGAGAAGACACTAAGAAGAATGTTGATCAGCAAAAAGAAAAATGCCTATCTGGTATTTAGGTTTGAAGACTGACTCGAGCTCATTCTCAAGTGGAAATGCTATACTTCCTGGTGACCTGGCTGCCTTCTGCTGCAATGTGCCTCCGTCTCCAGATATGCTTTGATTTATTTCCCTTAGCACTCCTAGTCCTGCCTCTGGTATTAATATTACTTACTGTTATGTATTTTCCTACTCTTGTACCTTTGTCTTTTCCAAAGTCTCACTTATCAGGTGTAGTTCTTATAAATAGAGTCTGGAATTTGAAAACCAACTTGATAGTCTCTGCTCTTATCTAGACAGTTTAGTCCATTTACAGTTACTGTGGGCACTGATCTGTTGGATTAGTTTTACCTGGCCATTCTGTATTTTGTATTTCTCTGGCTTTCTCCCCACTGTAGCTAGTACTCCATACCCCCTACCCAGAACCCCAACTGAGATTCTCCTGGATTGATCAAATTATTTCTCCATACTGCTTTGAAAACTATACATTCTGTTTCTACCAACCCAACAATAAGAGGACTTAGCACAATTTAACTGTGTTCCATTTGTGCCTGACATTTTGGTTATCTTTGGGTTCAGTTCTTTTTTATTGGGTTGTTGGAAAAGTCATGAAGCACTTTTGCATAGGAAAACAGAAAAAATACGTCATGACTTTCCAACAACCCAATATATTGCCCAAATTAGTCATTGTTATTGTTGCTATTATAAGCCAAGAGTCAGAAAGCATTTTTTGTAAAGGTTGGCAGGGTAAACATTTCAGGCTTTGCAGTCCTACAGTCTCTGTTACAAATTTTTCCTTAATTTTTTTCTCCCACAATTCTTAAAATCCATTCTTACTTTTGTACCATACAAAAACAAAAGCCAGATTTGGTCAGTTTGCTGACCTCTGTTTTATACAGACAATACTTATTTAGATTTATTCCTAGTGCTCACTTTTCTCCTTGCACCTCAGACTTTCCTTTATTCTTTAACCATCCCTGTTAGCAATTTTTACCAGGAGCATTTTTGGATAAAAATGGTCTAATTTTACCCTCATTCTTGCGTGAAAGTTTAACTTAAAGTATAGATTATTTAATTAATTTTTTTTTTTTTTTAGAGAAAGATTTTTGCTCTAGGATACATGCACTTGCTGGAGAATCAGAGAAAAATCACCTCCAGGGGGATGGCCACACCACAATCCCTTCTCCTCCATTCTCCTCTTGAGATTTTGGTCATGCACATACATGCGCCTGGTATGAGTTTTAAGCTGCCAGGTCCAGGACTTGAACTGTGGTTGACTATGTGGAAGTCCAATGATATAACCACTATGACATTTGCTGGTCCTGGTAAGGTACAGAATTCTAAGTTTGATTCTTGAGTCTAAGAATGTGTACCTTAGGCAGAATCCTTTCTCACTTTCTCTCTTTGTCTCTCTAGTGAGTGCATGTGCCCTATAAAAACTTTAAAATAATAAAAATTAAATGAATAATTCTAAAAAAAAAATAATGTGTACCTTTCACAGGATCTTGAAAATTCTATTATTTTCTTCTCAAATATTACTCAACCCCACCTTTTCTATTCTCTTTCTCTAGAATTTAGGTTGTGTATTGAACTATCTCATGTGATCCTCTTTTTATGTTAGCTTTTTCTTTTCAGTTTTATATTATTATTATTTTTTAATCCATTCAGTGATTTTTTTTTTCCTGGCTAAAAGTGACAATTTTCATTTCTAGAATTTCTATTTGGTTGTTTTCAAACTTAGTTTTTTTGATAGTGTCTTGCTATTTTTTCGTGAGTTCAGTTCTTTTTGAAAACATCTTCAGAAACATATCTATTTTTATGGTTTGATAACTCCTTTATTGGCAGCTTGAGGGGACCCAGTTCTGCTGTCTGTTGTGCCTGTTGCTGTCATTCACAGTAGATGTGCCCTTAGGTTTCACGACATTAGACTGTGAGCTCCCCTTCGTGAGAGTGGTGGCCGCAGGGAACCTGTGCAGCTGGGCTGAGGTGTGACCTCAAATGGTTTTAGATTTGCTTCTGCGTAAGAACCCTAAGGCTAAGATGAGCATGGGTTCCTGTTGTCTTCCTGTGCTAGGGTGCAAATGTCAGCTAGGAGCTCTTTCACTCCAAGCACATCCCTTTGTGGGGGCTGACTTTATGAGGAAGTCACCAATTCCAACTCCATCTTGTGCCACCCTGATAACTTTCTCTCTTATTCCATGTGGGTATAATCTCCCTAGTCTCTTGATTCCTGCCTAAGATTGACAACTCACCCCCGGCCTGCTCCAACTTGAGTCTTTGTTTTACTTTGTCTCTACATTTTGGGCTCCTGGGAATTTCCCTTACTTTCTTGTGAGTTCAGCCATGCATCTAAAACAATCTTCAATGTTTACTACCTGGTATTTCTGAAAAAGAAGTTTTTGGAACCTCTAAACAATCCTAGTGATGGAAATTTTATTGCTACTTAGTGATAACACATCTGGAGTTTTAACTAAAACCCTCCGGCATTAAAAAAAACAAAAGATCCAAGGAACAGTCATTTAAACCTGATGAGTTTACAAGTTGGTATTTGATTCTGTATGCAGTGGGAGAGCAGTGTTTCAGGTCTCCCTGGAATTAAAATATATAAGACTTTAACTTAATTGGGAGAGTTGATAGTTTTAAAATCCTTAACTCAAAATGACTGGAATCAATTTCAGGGTTTTTTTTCTGGTGAAAGTGAGAGGTGAGACTTGGCTTTAAGTGTGGGGACTTTGTGCACAAGATGACTTGTCAGAAGAAACGTAGAAGTGCCACCTCGCAGGTGTATGCTGGGACGACTTCTCCAACACTGCTATTCTGAAAGCAAAGCTCAAATCTTCTCAGTGCAGGAGGGGCAGGAGGCAGGAGCCCAGGAAGAGGAGGTAAGGGTAGTGTTTCAAGGTCCACACTGGGAATCTCTTTGATCCTTTACTCTCCCATGTCTTTGGGTGAAGGGAGTCAGGCTGTTCCCCAGCTTGTCCCCAGGACACTAAGGGCCACTTTGTGGGCCAGTCTCCACGCATTATCTCCATTAATTCCCTTGATAGTTCTGTCATTGTGTGCCATTATTAGGACCATTTAAAAACCACAGAAGTTGCAGAACAGAGAGGGTAACTAATCTGCCCACGTCACATCTATGGTAGTTGACAGGGGCAAGACCCAAAGCTCCAAATTCTTGGCCTTTATACCACTGTCCCTGAAACTACAGAGCAGCAAATCCACCTGCTGCTGTTTCCATCATTTCTCCTTCCTTCCTTCCTTCCTTCCTCCCTCCCTCCCTCCCTCCCTCTCTCTCTCTCTCTCTCTCTCTCTCTCTCTCTTTCTTACTTAAACAAGAGGAAGGGCCTTGGACTGCACATATTAGGGAGGATAGAAGGACCCAAAGCTTCCTGAGATCTGCAGCGGCTCCTGGGAGAGAAATCCCACCAGGGTTTGGCCAACAACCACAGTGGTGTTTACTGACAGTGGTTTGGTTAAATGAGAACACTCACCAATAAGGCACAGGCATCCGCAAACATCAACATGTAAAACACGTTGCTCCATCCAGAGGGGGAGATGAGGCCAGCCAGCAGAGGCCCCACGGCTGCTCCTGAAATGAGCAAACACACATGCATTGCCAGTCAAGGGGAAGTCCAGCACATGGCTATTCAAAGGACTCCAGTCCACACACATAGAGGGGAAGACTCAACACCTCACACACAATTAAAGAAAAACATACAAAACAAGAAAACCTCATTCTCACCTGTTGACTGGTAAGGAGCAGAAAGCTTAACGTTACTTAGTAAGGGGTAGTAATAACCAGCGTTAAGACTCTAGGACCAGTTCTAGAAATATGTTATTGACGTTTGTAACATTCATTATTTTGATCCAACACTCCCATTATTTATTTATTTTTAAACTTACTGTAAAGAAATCTGATTTTCTATGTTATAGAAAATATTACTGAGTAAAATCTGAATAAAATTTATAGATGCAAATACTGTGTATTTTCCTAAAAGGGACTGGAATACATTCTGGTTGACATGTAGGATGGTTTTGCTGCATGCACGGTAAGAAGTATGGAACATTTCCACCAAGTCATTAACTGAAGGCTAGGCTGAATAGGGGTTTTCCTACTTTATATATATACCAATTTTGTTTCAACTGTCTACAAAGTGCCATTACTTCTCATATAACCTGAAAAGGAACCAAATGATTTTTTTAAGCCTCTGAAGAACTTTCAAGCACACATGGTAGAGGTTCAGGTGTTTATCTCTGTACCCACCAAGTCCCTGAAAGGGACTATAATTAAAATTAAAAATTATAAACCCACAAAGAAAAGGGCAGATGAGAGACAGCATGCATTTTTGGAAGATGGACCCTGAAGAGCATGGCAATCGGCACAGGCTCCAGTGACCCCTGCTCTGCAAAGTGTCCTCAGGAGGAAATAGCACAGGGATGTCCCATTCACCTGAGCCCAGCTAAGCTCATGAGGCGAGGGTGGGAGGAAAGGGGTATTGCTTGACTCTTCTATAAGGAACTTTAGACGCATCCTGTCCACCCTCCTCTTGTCTTAGCTCTTTCCTTCTTGCCCTCAATGACCCAGAGACATTTTACCACCCTCACTGGAGAACAGCATCTTAACATTCAGAGAATTTAACCTTTGGGGACACCAGGCCCAGTGCACTGGGAGGTACCAGACAGAAAACAAGGATCTAGAAGTAGATATCAGCTTCCCATCCCTGACAGGCTTGCAGTGCAGCCCACACTCCCCAAAGAGGCGCAGGAGTCTTTTCACCCAGACTGCAGTTGGGTCCCCCTAACGTGAAGACCAGTAGTGAGACCACATTCCCATGCAGAAAGGACTCAGGTAAGTGTGCAGTGGCCTGTTCTTAAATATGAAAATGTGAAGGGACAGCAAGGGTTCACCCTGTGTCTGAGGAATGCCCCTCATAAAACTGGGAGGAGAGGGACCTAGAGGAAACACATCAACCAGGGAGAAGAAAATTCCCAGGAAATTATGATACTCTCAAAAGCTAACAGAAAATCAAGTCAAACCATAGGAAAGTTTCATTTGTGTAAAATCAGCTCATTATCAGCAATTTCACATGATTCCCTCTATCTCACATTGCATCTAGGAAATAAGAACAGAATGCACTAAAAGAGCAGGAAAACATTAATGAACATTAAAAATATGAGAAAGAGAAAGTTCAACACAATGGTTAGAAAGTAAAGTCATGAAAGCTTCTAAGAATGTAGAAGAATAAGGAGACAGGCAGAATGAGAAGGAAGGAAGGAAGGAAGGAAGGAAGGAAGGAAGGAAGGAAGGAAGGAAGGAAGGAAGGAAGGAAGGAAGGAAGGAAGGAAGGAAGGAAGGAAGGAAGGAAGGAAGGAAGGAAGGAAGGAAGGAAGGAAGGAAGGAAGGAAGGAAGGAAGGAAGGAAGGAAGGAAGGAAGGAAGGAAGGAAGGAAGGAAGGAAGGAAGAAAGGAAAGAAAGAAAGAAAGAAAATTGATGGATTAATTCAAAATGCCCAATATCTGACTAACAAATTTTGCAGAAATAACAAAACAAAACAAGCATAAAATGATAGGGAAAACATATCAAAGAAATCATAGAGTGCAACTGCCCCAAAGTGAAGGGTGCGTGCTTCCAGACTGAGTGCGCCCAGTTGGTGCCAGGAGCACAGTGGGTGAAGGAAGAAGTCTCTGAGGATAGAAATGTGACCCTAAAGATTCCAAGAGAAAAACAGAAGGGCTTTTTTTCAAGAGAAAAATGAAGGGCTGGGGCAAGAACAACAGTTGACTTCCCGATGACATAATGGAAGCTGGGAGACATTGGAATTCAGAAGGAAAAGGAGTTTCTACTTCAGGTGAGCGAGCAGGCTCGAGACACCACAGACCTGCAAGATCTTAGAATTTAACTACCCTGAACTCAGCAAGTTGCTACAGGACATTTTCCCACCACAACGATCTGGAAAATGGGGGCTCTGATAGAGCAAGAGATGAAAGGGATTCACAGGATAGTGGTGAAAGGGCTGTGTCAGTGGGCAGCCATGGAGGCCCTTCCACAGAAGGACAATGAGGAGGGGAATCTGGTGGTGACAGTTTTGAGAAAGGGAACCATGTGACAGAAACTAATAAAAGGGCAAGTGAGGCACTGGCTACCATGGGGAAAAACGACTGTGCATATTGAGGATGTATAATTATAACACCTGCATAACTGAGCAAGTACAGGCAGGTGAAAAAGGTATCAGAGAGCCAGGGCCCATCTTCCTTAGTGGGCAGACAGCAGACAATGCCAAGAGAGATGAACGTAGAAACATGTAAGCATGTAAACCCCAGAAGAAGCAGTTGAAAGTGACTGCTTCCAGAAAGGGGCCTGGGGTGGGGGTGAGAGGTGAGGAGGGGAGCACCATTTTACATCATAATAATAAGCTTCGGAGACTAGCTGGCTTCTAAGATGGCATCTTGCTTTCCTTGGCTAGAATAAAAATTAACTTGAAAAAACACGGGACTATATCCAGCCGCTCTGCATAAAGTGCCCCAAGTGGTGAGCCTTGTGAGCCACAGGGAGGCAGCTCTAAGCGCTTAGAGGGCACCGATCACACAGGCCTGTGTCATCAAACCCAATGGGCTCTTGTGATGTGCGAGAGGCACCAATTCACAACCAGCCCAGTGATGCCTCCACCTATACCAGGGACAGTGAGTGGATTAAGACCTCATACACACTAGGGACCGATGCTCTTAGGAGTGCAGTTTTTGCTGGAACAGTCTGTGTTTCCACTTGAGACTGTCTTTGCTTTTGTCTTGTGGGGCAGCACTCCTGGTGGGAAGCCTGCATGCTGTTTCCATGGTGACCACCGAGTCCCCACACTTGGGCCCCATGTGTCTTGGGCCTGCTATGTGGGCGTGGGCTGGAGAGCTCCCACCAGTGTCCAGACCTCAGGTGGAAGTGCTGCTGAAGCCAAGGTGGGCGGAGGCTCCACAGTCAGTGTTTGCTGCAGGTGAACAGAAAGGTCAGGGCAGAGGGCCTCTGCCTGCCACCGTGTGGGTGAGGGGCATGTAGAACTGTGATCTCATTCCTCCTACGTGGCTCTGAGGGGAGGGGCGGGGAGCTGCCTCCATTCACAGCTGCAGAGCCTCCACCCTCTGCCAGGAACTTCTGTTCCCCTCTTACTTTGAGAAGAATATCAAGAAAATTGTTTTTTTCTCCACCAAATTCCTAATTTCTCCCTTTTCACTCTGATCCTCTGCGTTAACATGGTAATCAGGGCTGCCAGCAGAGCTCCAAATTAGCTTTAAGAAAAGGGGTTCACAGTGGGAGTAAGACTGGCTTGTAAACAGAGACCGCTGGGGCAGCAGGCAGAGAGAAGGTTGTTCAGTCACGGGCTAACTAGAGCTAAGCTGGGCTCAGAAGAGGATGCTCAGTCCCACACTAACTAGAACCAAGCTGAGCCCAGGAAAGGTTGTTCAGTCACACATCAACTAGAACCGCACTTGGCCTAGGATCTCCTGACGTCCTGGGCATGGGCAGGACAGTGGCAGGCCCATTCCATAGGGGGAGCTGTTATCAGGTATAGCACACCAGCCCCTCTCCCTATTTGCTCCTGGACATTCCTCTAGGCCCTAAGATTGCCCCAAAGGGAACATTAGAGGTTTGATCACTAACACTATCCAATCCATTTGAGGTCATCTCGGTCCAAAGAAATTAAGGAACCAATGCTGAGGACAAAGGCAGGGCTGGTGTGATGCTGGCGAACAGCAGAGGTCAAAGCTGGGCTCTCTGAATGTCAGCTGCCTTGCCGGCCTTCTTACAATGAGCTGGACTTGCTGGCCACATGAAGTGGGGTGCTGGCCCTAGAAACTAGAGCGTGGAGCAGGGGGTCTTACAATCAGGGACAAGCGTTCTACCCCGGTGGGCCATGTGGATCAAGGAGAACCTGGGCCTCTACCAAAGCCCCTCACCTCCTGGGCCTTGTCTGTGACTCTAGCTGCCTAGGGTTGGCCAGCCAGCTCAGTTCACTGGAGAAACAGCAAAAATCAGGTAGGCAAACCCCTGCCCTCATGGAGCTGCCACCCAAATGAAGGGAGCAGAGACACATAAAGCAAATGAGGAGGCCAGACAGTGCTCTGGAAAGTGGCAAGTGCTATGGAGAATAGACAGAGATCCAAAGGAAGCCTGAAGTCTAGGGGAGGGGGTTCACCTTCTTAAAAGGGGATGTGCAATAAGGTCTTACTAAGAAGACGGTATGTGTGCAGACTCCAAGGGCTGGAGGGAGTGCAAGATCACCGGTGGGGGGAACCTTCTCAGGCTCAGGGCACAGGGACTAGGCTTGGTGTTTCTGAAGCACGGCGGGGAAGCTGTGGGTTGCAGAGAATGAAGAGGGCAGAGTGGAGGAAGGATTCCAGGTCCTGCCTTAATAAGACAGAAGTGGGTGCCCAGAAGCAACCTGTGGATGTTTTCCATCTGGTGGGCACAGAGGCCATGGGATGGTCTGGAGAGAAACACCAGCCCCCAACTCGGGGCAGTGGGAGGGCCCAGCACCAGGATCCGGATGGACTGTGCTCACTGCAGTTTACTGAGGTGCGACTCCAGGGCCCTCTCCTCCCAACTCTGTCCCACCTCTGTCCTCTCGGCAGGAGCCTGGGACAGCAGGTGACATAAAAAGTTGCCACCAAGATCTTCCTACTGGCCATGGGGGTCACAGCAGGCAAGCCCCTGAGCCTCAATTTCCTAGATAGAGACAGGGGCAATTGAGGCATCTCCTCTCCTCTACGGGCCCTGTGCGATTTAGCCCCTGGTGTGGGCAGGGCCCAGCACAGGCAGCTCCTGGGACCTCTGTCTAGCAGAGCACTCACTGCATTCATGCTCCTTGCACAGAGGCTTGAGAAAGGCCAAGGCCACTGTTAGCAGCCCCTCTGCCTCTCGCGTTGGAGGCCTGGCATCTCACCACCTCACACCTGCTGGAGCCCAAGAGATCAGCTGGGCTCCAGGATTTTTTTTTGCAGCAAAATAAATTCCATTTTCCCACGAACTATTTGAAGTTCTTACATAGGCACCTTTCTAAATACAAAAGCACCTATCCATGGGTCATCAGATTTTTGGTAATTGAAATAGAAATGGAAGTAAGATCCTGTTTCTCTTGAGAAACAGTGGACCAGACGTGGCCGGCAGGCTGCAGTTTGGATACACAGTCCTTCATACCTGTTCCCTCTACAAACCGTCCAACCCCACACCATGGTGATCTGCTCAGGGTCAGGCAGCCAGCCGACCTGATGCTACCCCGGTGACTGCAATCGCAGCACCGGTTTACTACGGCGTGGCCCCGTGGCTTCCCTGTGAACACAACCAGCCCCTCAGGCTACGCGTCTCGGCGCACCTACAGAGCCGGTCCCGTCGATGATGGCAGTCACCGTGGAGAGGGCATGTGAGTTTCCTTTCAGACTTTTGTGAGTGCCCTGGAAGAGAGAGAAAGACAAATGGAGACTGTCTCAGTGGTGTTAGGACTGAGAAAGGAACCGGTGCCCTCCACACGGCAACTTCCTCAAGTCGCTTCACAAATAACTCAATCCATGGGACAGTTCCTATTAGAAAATGGGAATCTACCCTACCCTAACTCACCTTGGAGAGATAAACAAAATTTTGGAACCAGCAGTTAGCATAATGGCTATGTCGCTGGACTCCCATGTAGTTGACTGCGGTTCACGTCCCAGACCCGGTGGCTTAAAACTCACGCCGGGCGCGTGTGCGTGCGTGCCCAAGATCCCGAGAGGAAAATGGAGGAGAAGGGATTGCGGCGTGACCATCCCCCCTGGGGGGTGATTTCTCGCTTTCTGTCTCTCTGTCTCTGTCTGTCTGGCGAGTGCACGCGCCCTATAACAAAAAAATTTTTCCCCAAAAAAAGGAGAGGTAAACAAAGTTTTAGGGGCTGTTAAGAGTCAAAATCAGGCCAGCAGGTAGTGAGGTAGAGAAGAGGGCTGGATCCCACATGGCTGGCCTGAACCCAGTAGCTTAAAACATGCCAGGTGTGTGTGTGCGTGTGCATCCAAAGTCCCAAGATGAGAATGGAGAAGGGACCGCAGCCTGGCCAATGTCCCTGGGGGGTACTTTCTCTCTGGCATGCATGCACCTCATAGCAAAATTTTAAAATAAGAGTAAAAAAATCCTTAAATATCTTAAATCCTTAAATATCTGTCCAGGCATATTTACTCCACACAATCACACTGCACTCAGCCCTCCAGCAGCCCACGTGGGAGATGAAAGGATGAATGACAGGCGCCCTGTCCCTAAGCTTTGCTGCCACTGACAGCTACTCCACTTTCTGCTGTATCCCAAAACAGCAAGGGCCTTTCTGTGGTACGGGCCAGACGTTTCTGCAGGCGCTAAAAACCAGCCTGATGAAAGCAAGTGCCGGAGGAGCAAGGAGAAGGGAGAAGTTGGGAAACCAGCACAGCGCCAGTCCTCGATGACCCATGGGTAGGAGCTTTTGTATTTGAAAAGGCACCTGTGTGGGAACTTCAAATAGTTCATGGAAAATGGAATTTATTTTGCTGCAAGAAAATTCTGAAACCCACGTAATTTTCCATAATATAAAATTTTCCATGAACTTTTCAAAGAACTCTTGTGTGTAAGGTTGGGGGGAAAACCCTATTAACTGAGGACAATAAAATGAAAATGAAAACAAAACAAATCAAGAAAACAGTGCCTGAAATCTCAAAACTATAAAAATAAACGAAAGCTGCAAAAAAAATAAGTGTCTATGGGCCTAGCTGCAGTGATGCAGTGGGAAGGTGCTGGTGTGTGATCCTGGAGCCTGTGTGAGGACCGGATCAGATCTAGGTTGACCCGAACATGCCAGGAACACCCGTGGGCACCTGCGACCCTGCCTAGATGCGAGGCTAGGGGATGACTGCAGTGTGGCGAGGCCCATCAAGGGTACCTGTTTCTCAAGAAAGAAAACACAAAATAAGCCCCCCAATATGTGCATGCATGTATGTGTAACGTGTGTATAATATAAAGCACATATAAAAGAAAATCACCCATAACCTTCTTTTCTTGGAATCTAAAAATAGATGTGAAAGTTCCTTCTCTGCCTTCACCCCATAGTAGTTGACCACTGGGGTCAGTCTGGTGCAGGGCCTTTCAGAATTTTCCATGTCCACACAGATGTGAGTCTGCGTGTTCACACATGGGGCCGGTCAGGCAGGGTCTGCACCTGCTGCTCTGGGTCAGTGACATAGGAATGAGATGAGAGTGGCCTGGCCCCAGCACCTCTTCAGTGACCCACCAGGGGCAGGGGCTTCTGCTGCTCTTGGGAGGGAAATGCCTGAGATGGGAGGATAGGGCACAGGAGTCTGGGTTGCTCTAGATGGTTGAGTCTCCTGGGCTGACCTGCCTGTGACTCTAGGAGAAGCGTAGGAAGGGGAAGGTGCGGGGAGGCTCCTGGGCCACAGGGACAGGCTATGTGCAGAAGAGGAGCTTAAATAGAGATACACGGTTTCATTCATGGAGACCAGCTATGGAGGGGTGATAGCTACAGATGGACAGGTGACAGATACAGATAGACGTGTGATTGCCAGGGCTGGTGGTCCCCTCTGGGCTCCTGTGGAGACACTAGCCACTCACCAGGTCAGCAGATACGGCGGTGGTGATCAGCGCGTAGGGTCCGCTGACCAGGGCCCCGCTGAGAAGCAGCATTGCTGGGGGAGAGAAGACAGTTAGGATAGAATCATGTCCTTGGGGGAGGGGGCACCTGTCTCAAAGTAGGTCAGGCATCTGGCATAGGCTGGCCTGCCTGAGTGGAAGGCAGGTAGGTGCAGCCAGGGTGGGCTAGACCTGGGAGCAACAGTGTGTTCTTCTAAAGGGCCTGGTCAAGTCGCACTTGGCCAAAGCCTCAAAGCCTGGGACTCAGGTCCTGGGACCCTGATGGGCAGTGGCTGGTGAAACGCTGAGGAGTGAGCTCCGGAGGTGCCCAGCAGCCCTGATCTGAGTCGGTGCCGGCAGAGGCCGAGATCAGCTATTGCGGTATATGTAGCAAAAAGGACTTGCTGGCATCTCTGTCACTGACAGCTGCTGCTGCCACTTTCTGAAAGCACAGTCACTTCCCCACACTGTCCTCTGGGCTCACTTTCTCAAGCTAGCTCTGGGTCACATGCCTCAGTGGGGAAGCTTCTGCCCCAGAGCTTGGGATGCTCCACACTCGCCCTCCCAGCATTGGCAGATGTTTCCTGGTAGCTTGTCACAGAGTCACACAGCCCACGTCCCTCCAACCCCACTGCTGGCCAGTAGGTTAGAAAGAACACTCGCTAACTGTCAAGGGCATCATTTGGGAGCGCTGCCGGCAGGAGGTTAAAAATAGCCCTCTGATGTTGCACAACCACTCCCAGAGCGGTGCCGACAGGAGGCGGCAGGGAGGTGGCCTGAAACCACTCCTGCCCGCCGGCTGACCTGCTCTGCTGTACAGCACACCCCACCAGCCAGCCCAGGCTGGGTCCCTCACCTGGGGCACGCTTTCTCCTGCCAGCTCCCACCGAGGCCAGCGAAGGGCTGCTCTCCAGGCTCCATCTGACTTGAGTGGTGCCTTCCCAAGGGGCACGCCGAGCTTCCCTGCCTGGAGCAGGAGTGTGCTCTCCTTATCTGCTTTCAACCTTGCAGTTCACTGGCCTCATGCTGGAGCAGGAGTGCCCTGGCCTCGCCCAATGGTCTCACCCAAAGGGATATTGGACTATTCCAGCCATGCCGACTGCTCTAGCTGACACCTAACTCCCATCACACCAAGCTGTGTGGCAGAACACAGATGTGAACTAACAGGCCATGTGTACTCACCCACAGTGGCTTCCACACCCATTTTGCTGACAGTGGAGAACACGTAGAGCTGTGGACAGGTCAAAAGCAAAGGCTTGCTACAGTTATCCGGACTTCCCGGAGCCTGCACTTCCATAAAGCCAGGGGTGACTCCCAGTCATCCCGAGACAGAAACCCCCAGAAGAGAATGACCGCCTTGTCCCCTGCACAGAGGGTGGCATCTGTGTCATGCGTGGCAGCTGGGCTCAGGGCTTACCCCATCCCTCCTGGCTCTGCACCAGGAGCTCCAGGTACTTGGGAGACCTGCAGGGGGTGCCTTGCTCTGAGCTCCCAGTGCTGACGGACCTGGGCAGCTTTCTCTGAGCTCACTGGTGAGAGTCTAATAGTGGAGATCTCAGGCTTCTACCCCTAACAGCAGCACTCACTGTCATGGAAGTCCTCAGGCAAGGGGCTGACTTCAGTCCTTTACTAAATGTTGAGTGTCTACACTGGCCAGTGCCCACAGCCCTGAAAGTTCTAAAAACTAGGCCTCATTCTAGAGACGGCCACAGCCCAGCGGAGTGGCAGATGTGCAGATAGTTATAGTGCAAGCTGATGAGTAGTAACATTACCTATGACAGTACTGTAATAAAAACAGTAATGCTACCTGATTATTTCATTTAATCCTCACGACCGTACTGTGGGGTGGAGCTATTGTCATCATCCTCTTCCAGATGAGGCAACTGAGCTACAGAGAAAGGAGGTCACCTGTCCAAGGTCATGAGCTACCAAATGCTTCAAAAGCAGTGTGACCCAAGTATTATGGTGGGCGGAGCTAATGATGTCTAGGGCGTGGTAGAGGCTTCGGGGATCCTGAAGGATGGGCAGGAGCTTGCTGGGGAAGGTGGGGAGAGGCGGAGAACATCCCAAATAGAGAAACTGCACACAGGAAGCCACAATGAACACAAAGCAGTGGCGTGTGAGGAGAGCAGCATGGACCACATGCATCTTGGGGCCCTGGGCAGGCATGTGCCTGGAGGAATGCCATGAGTCCTGAGCTTGTTAGCAGAGAACACAGGCCACGAGGAGAGGGCACTGGCTGGCAGGAGGGTGGGTGCAAGGGGACTGTGTGTGCAGGGGGAGGGTGGGCTGACCGTTGGGGCTGCCAGCAGTAGCATCAGGCCACAGGTGGAGGCCCTCTTCTCCAGCCGGTCTGAGATCACACCTGCCAGGATTCCACCTGCAATGAAGAGGGCAGGTGTCAGGTGCTTGGTCAGAAAGGAGTCCATTACCAGGGAACGAACGCCAAGAGCAGGCAGCCTTCGTGGTGGGGACTTTCCTCCCAGCTGGCCTTTCTGGGCTGCAGTCGGATTCAAGGTTGTGTTGGGGGTTGGGTTTTAAGCCAGCCCTGCAGCTCCTCTACCTGCCAGGGCCTGGGGCCGGGGAGAGGAGACCCTCCAAGAGTGGGAGGGTGCAGCACTGCTGGGTGGGGCCCCAGAGGACACAGCTCCCTCTCAGCAGTCAGGCAGCTCAGAGCAGTCAGAGAACACAGGCACACAGAGGACTGTGGAGTTCCCATTGAGGTAGAACAGCAGTGAGGGACTCACCGAAGATGCCACCCACATCAAACAAGGTGGAGAGCTCCCCTGCTTTTTTGGCATCCAGGTGATCTGTCAAAAAGACCAGAGTGTGAGTTAATAAGGACGTGCACTTCCATAAGTGTTATGGCGAGGATGGCCTGACAGGACCCACATGTGGGATTCTGGGTCCATAAGCATGGTTTATAGCAAGGAGCAATTACCAGTTGGATTCTTGGATTCTTTAAAGAATCCAACTTGTATTCTTTAAGACAAACAAAACAAAAACACACAGCTAGAAAGGATGAAAACACTCTTAGCTAAACCTGAGGGCTTTCTCTGCTCAGTCTAATTGTGACCCCCACCTTTGGTTCAGAGGCCACCTGGAGGCCACCATGATGTCAGATCAATTCAATACGAAACAGAAGGACCTGTGAAGTCTGCTACCACAGGGGGCCTCTGGCATCCCGGCACCACAGAGGTGTCCTGCAATGTGCTCCAAGTGCCCACACGACTTAGAACTGGAAGGGATGGAGGCTTCTCAGACTATAGATGAGGGAACTGAGGCCTCACGATGCCCAGTTTAGGATTCTCTCCATCAGACTTGGTGCAAGTTCAGAGCTTCAGGGTGAACTGGAGTTGGCCAGGATGGATTGAGATGTGGGAAGCATTTGGGATTACATTTAGATCCAGCCTTTCCTGATTCAGAGCATACAGTGAACTGTGCTTTTTGGGTCACTCAGATTGGAAATGCCAATAATTAGAGACCTCACTCCTGAAAATGTCACCACTTTGCCGTTGCAGAGGAATAAAGGAAGAGAGAAGTCACACAGCCTGTCTGGCGAGGGCTCACCTTGTCCATAATGTACACAATTCACCTGATAAAAGGAAGTGGGGTGGCCAGCTGAGGAAGGCACCTCAGGGTACCCTGGCCCTGTTGGGAGGTCCATACGGGTGTTCCCTCACTGCTTCCCAAAGTGTGCAGCCCTAGCCTCAGGCTCCTGTGGTCTCTGCACACCCTACAGTACCACTAGGAGTATGTGGTCTGTGCTTCGAACCTCCCCCTCTTTCTCCTCTTGCACGTCGCCTCATCCAGAGCCCAAGACTCCCCTGAGGACCCTGGTTGCTTCTTTCTTCCCCCTGCCCTCAACTTTGGGACAAGTGAGCTCTGTGCTGCCACCCTGTCAGCTCACAGTTCCAATCCCTCTACTCAGTGGTCCCTTCTCTCGGGAACCGCTGATACCTTCTTGTTTTTATTGAGGTCACCCATGCTGTCGGGGTGCACATCACTGTAGCATAACCAGCCACTGCTGGACTTGGGAGTGCAAGAAAAACGGCCAGCCCTCCCTAAAATTAGAACCATCTCCCAGAGGCAATTTCTAGGTCAGATTATTAATGATTTATGATCTCGGGTCCCCAAGGTGGGCTCCTGCTTGCTGGCTGCTATGCTCCAAAGTGCAGTGCGGCCCACATGGCATTGTAGCCGTCCAGAACAGGAACCCTAGGGAATTGGCAGTTGCAGCTGGGACAGAATGTGTCACCCCTTTACACCTCACACAGGTGACACTTCTGGCAATAAAACTCATGCATTTGCAGGCACTCTCACGAATGTTTAATCACGCTGTTGAAAGCACCCCGCCAGTCTCCCCAGCATTCCCCCAGAAACCAGCCAGCAGAAGGCTGACCCGATTGCATTGCTGTGTGGAACTTACCACGGGTGCATCCAGCGGCAGGTACTCACCCACGCTAGTGATGTACAGCGGGAGCCAGAAGAGGAAGGTATAGCTGACCAGCTTGGCAAACAGCAGACACAGAGAGAACTCCACCACGCCCTGAAAGAGAGCAGCCGTGTGTCCCCCAAGTGTGTCTTCCCAGGTGGACTGGAGCAACAGTTACAAGCGACTCTGTCCTATAAAGCACTGTGTTCCTGGTCTGGTGTAGGCACCTCCAGAGAAATACTGGGAGCGGACACCACTGTTACAGAGTGCAGCCAGGCTGGAACGTGATGGGAAACTGACCACAGAGGCCTTCTCCCAGCACCTGACACCCCTCTGAGATTGAATCCCAGTATCTTTATGTCACATTAGAGTCAATAAAAATATGTACTAAAGTGAGCCTCACACGACGTCATTTGGAACACGAGCTCACAAAGTTTTCTCAGGGCCAGAGCCTGGTGGGGAGTCATCTGGTTACTGAGTACTAATGGTTATTTCTTATCTGGGGGCTGAAGTGGCTGCAAATGGCACAGCAACCAGAAACACACGGAGCAGACAATTGTGACTCGCGTTAGACACACGGGGCACTGCACTCTGCCTGTGAGCAAGACCCATGGGGATGCCGAGCACACGATGCAGAGGAAACTGCAGACATGAACGAGGACATCACGGTCCCGAGCGTGGGGACTCTGCTTGTTTGTGCTTCATGTGATGTCTCCTTTTAGCAAGAGGAGGTGCTGTGAGAGAACAGTTCCAGGCCCCCTCAGAACTCCCCAAACTGGGCAAACAGCAGTATTTGATTTCCCTGTCATTTAAAGTAGTTAGGGCCAGCTGGTTGCATGGTGAAGGCAGCTGGATCCCACATAGCTGACTTCATGGTTTGAGTCCAGACACAGTGGCCTAAAAAACATGGCAGGTGGGAACCAGCAGTTAGCGTAATGGCTATGTCGCTGGATTCCCACTTAGTCGACCGCGGTTCGTGTCCCGGACCCGGTGGCTTAAAACTCACACCGGGCGCGTGTGCGTGCGTGCCCAAGATCCCGAGAGGAGAATGGAGGAGAAGGGATTGCGGTGTGACTATCCCCCCTGGGGGGTGATTTCTCGCTTTCTATCTCTATGTCTCTCTCTGTCTGTCTGGCGAGCGCACGCGCCCTACAGTGAAAATCTCTCCCCCCACCAAAAAAAAACATGGCAGGTGAAAATGCATGTATGCCTAAAATCCCAAAAGGAGAATGAAGGAGAAGGAATTGAGGTGTGGCCATTCTCTCCCTGGGTGGGGGGGGGGTGCCTTCTCACTGCCCCCAATACCCCGTGTCTCTCTCAGGGGAGCACACA